TTTACCAAAAATGAGGATGCTCGCATCATAAGACGTAAGCAATGTAACATGATGAGATGCGCTGCGTCTGTCTCGTGTATAACCTTAGTGTAACACGTGTCTATGTACAGTATGATACCTCAGTCACATCGCCCAGCCGACCGACTCCAGGTCATTCGGGACGATGTAATGTTTTGTTCGGTCTGGTGTCTCTTGTCCGTTGGTGTGACTGACACCTCATTTCGCAGAAGAAAATGCATGATTAGATGGCGTGTGCAGTATAATGAAGTACGTGTGTATTTATATCTCAACTATAATGGGACCCGAGATACGAAAGGATGCTAGGGAGGACATGGAATGTTCCTATAAATCCGTTAATATTTCTAAGGCGAACAAAAGTGTCACTTTCATCCGGTTGGCGTTGGAAATAATAAAGATTTTTAAACCTTGGCCTCATCCTTAACGGCCTATACCCTATCTTAGTGTTCGAAAGTGCCAATGAAAGTGGTTCAATTACCATGAATCCTACTCAAAATGCAAGAAGAGCAAACATAAGGTTCATTTACACTACGATTGCTGTCTAAATGCTACGGTTAAACGTTGATTGGTAAACTAATTGTATTACTTTGTAACTTGTATTGTTTAAAGAACAAAATCTTGTTGTCATGTTTCTTCATTCGTTTGGGTCTAAATGCGCATTATATAACTTCAACGAACGTATAACTCATCCCATTAATGAGATGTTAATTTTTTCCTGTTCAGGTGCGGTTGTCTAGTGGTATAGCATTTGTCCCAGAATCTTATGATAAACCGATGGGACACTGGGAAGTGATAGCGGGTTGAAAATGTAATGTTGCATTACAATCGCAAAAGCTCACCTGTATTACGAACAACCTATTTGACGTCATTATAATGTACAAAATAAAAACGAGGACCTAAGAGGGTTCCCTGCGGTACTCGGCAGTGAATCTGAAGTGCAGCCATTTATAGATACGAATTGTATTCTCTTTAAGATAGTTCCAGAACTACTCTAAGGCATTCACTCTATATAACGCCGTTCACAAAGACATAACAAAATAATTAATGACTTAGTATTTTCAATTTGAATATAACGCATGCAATATCATCACTACCATTCGGGAGCATTGGTAATAACCAAGTCCCCCGCGTGGATCCCTAACAATCGATATCGCTTGAGAGGTGAACGATCTGGAAATTATTGTTTGAAAATGTAATGTAAACAAATTCCTGTGTGAGCAATCAATATAATTTGTTTTAAACATTTTCTTTTTTAATGGACGCCTTCGATGTCATTTCAAGCCGAGATTTCAGAAATGGAACAAACTTAGAAAGATGGAGGGGAAAAAATGAAAATAAGAAATCTAATAGATGTTAGGTAAGGGCCTACTTGTATTAAGTTATATTGTCCATTTTTAATGGCAGGGCCTATGGCCTACCTCCCGGCAATCAATTCAGGAGATATGACGACATTGTTGCTATGGTTACGTCAGTCTCTCATCTGAAAAATGAATATCCGTTCTGACCCGAAATTGGATTCACACGACGGGCTTGATAGAGTATGAAAATAAGGAAAAGCGAGCACTTTGAAGTACGGGTCCCATGCATAAATGGAGACGTTTTATGCAGGACGTACAACTACAATATTAGACCCGACCTCAGATGCAGTTGAAATACAACGGAGGGTCCTTTGAAGACCTCTCAAATCAAAACAATATTTTCCTTACACTGATATTAAGTGGAAGCTTTCATCAATTCGGGAATGCTACCGTGGCGTAACAGTAGAATTTCCGACTTTGATCAGGTGATGGAGACCAGAGACGACTCGACTAAGTCACGTTGATTTCTACGGCCTCGTTCCCTTTGAGTCAATAACATTTCATTTCAGGCTAAAATATCGAAATTGCTTACTTTTGTTCACATTTATATTACGTAGTCAATGTTTAGTAGGCCTACTAGTCATGCTTTTACATTGTGAAAGAAACAGTCATGAACAGTATTGCCCCTCAGCAAATTGTTTTATATCAAAGATCGAACAAAAACAAAAAATTAAAATTTGATTAAAATTATTTGTTAACATTTTTTTAACATTTTGAATTTTAATAAAATATAAGCCTATTTAATTTTAAACAATATAAAAAATAATTTTAAACAAAAATTTAAAATTTAAACATTTTACAACAATTTTTTTTTAATTGCTCAGACGTAAATTGTAGCTTTAGTTGAGGTACCTTACGGCTTGGGAAAAAAGTGTGATTATTTTTTATCATTTGACACCTTTTTACGCAATCAAAATCTAATAAATTTTGGATGCCGGACATAAATATTAATGATTAATTCGGCTACGGTACAAAGACTATTTCCGCTCCTCACGTAAAAAAAAAAGTAGCTATGCATTACACGCAAAAAATAATTGTGTGTGGTTGTATGATTTGTATACACATGGACACACAATATACAAACAAACGGGTTACTCTATAGCACTCAAAGACGTCCGTTCCCACACGTCATAGTATAAAGTGTCCACCAATCACGTGATTGGTGGAAACTTTATACGAAACTTGTCAAAAGCAATTGCTATTGGTCAACTCTCAGGCGAAATTACTTTTTTTTTGCACACGTTGTTTTATACATCGCTCTGCATTGTGATACGAATGCATAATTAGCTCTTTCACCAAATTTCGTTAATTAACATTATGAATGAAAATAAAATACAAACCAAAGTGGTTCCATTGCCCTAAATCCCAAATCTTATTATAAAATCTATGCATTTAATGAATATACACAACTTTTCTTCGAATTTTAATGTGCTTGAGAATTGAAAATTGTAAATGGCCAATAAAGAGATGCGAACTGTGACGAGGATATGGGAATGTATTTTACTCAAGTCATTTGCGTCATGCAGTCTGAAACCAATTTTTGATCACTGGAATTAGTGAGCTAGCTCAATTTTCACTGCACTTTACTTTAAATAAAAAAAGTGTGACGTTGATGTTACTTTTCTGCGTTGCTTCATTTTTGTTTTAGCTTTACCTAAAGCATAATAAAGCGTGTCACATTACATGACGTTTCATTTAACTTTTAGGCGGTCGTCTCCTCAAATCATTTCCATTAGTGCAGCGATGGGTTTATGACGTCATCAACTCGCTGCCAGTCAAAACAAACAACCTGCTGTACACGATAACGATGCAAATGACAGTGACATTCAACGACCTCACGACCGAATAGGACGCTTTTTTGCAAACATAGTGATAGTCACCTTTTTTCATGGTATCATGCACACTTAGCCTAGAAATTCCAAACGAGTTTAATTCAAACTGCAGATTCATATCCTATGTGGATGATAATATTATTTATATCTGAAATCTCTTTCTCGTGAGTGTCATGTCTCTTGGCAAATCATAGAGAAAATTACCTGTCATGGGGAATAGCGGTAACTATGAACATAACTAATGTAACGGTTAATTTTATGTTTCGATGTTCTCCTTTGTCATGTTTCGTTTTATTCCTTTTCCGCAAAATGTGGAGAATATTCTGATTGTTTAAGAACTTTGTGTCGTGTTTCTTTTCCAGAGGGAGGGATGGGGTGGTTTCCAAAGAGTCAATTTTGTTTGAATAATTGACTTATTGAAATTCACCTTTATTTCCTTCTCATTGACAATATGGTAAACAATAAATAATAGAACAGTAAAGTAAACAAATTCAAAGAGCAGAATAAAATATTCAAACATAACAGAACAGTAAATAAATGTATATAAAAAGCAGGAGGCGAAAACCAGTGAAGTAAATGTTTGTGTTGGGAACGCCCGTTTATACTCATTTCATTTAAATTGCATGTTAATAAGTACCATTTCGTATATTGTTTCAAGACTTCTATAAGAGGTGTTTACGGTGACACCATCAAAGACTAAAGATAACAATGCACTATAATATCAATCATGACAACAATAAGCAGCATAAATTTCATTTTAAACCCAGCAGACCAAACTGTCCCGATGAGTACACAATCTTAAAATGTTATAGGGATTCTGGAGTAAACAGTGGGTTGCCCCCTGATTGTTGTGAAAGAAATTATATTTCTGCTCTTTGCCCTGGATTGGGGTGCGATTTTGTAGGTGTTGGGGTGTTGCCAGTGTTTGCAACCCTTCAAAGTGAGAAAATCAGAACAGTTCATTAGTAAATGTATCAAATATTTGGAGGTGTCGTGGTATAGTGGTTCATTCACTTGACTCTCAATCCAAGGGTTAAGGGTTCGACTCCCAGTCCGACACTAACGTCCTTTAGGAAGACATTGATCCATGTTTGCCTCTCTCCACCCAGGTGTTATATGCAGTGGCGGATCCGGGGGGCCCGGGCCCCCTCCCCTAGGGAAAAACTGGTAACAACACATTAATTTTACCTTTTTTTGGAGATGGGCCCCCTCCCCTGGCGCTCAAGGGGGGGGGTGCGATTTTTCAAATTTTCAAGCCCCCCCCCCCCCTAAAATAAAAAAAAAAAGTGCTCACTACACTACTCATTATTGTTTGCAGCTCATTCTGCATGGTAGATAAAATATACTTTCTGCACGTAACCATACACATTTCTATATCTATATCACTTAAATGTTTATTCAGCAAGATTACAGGTTTATTACACCTGTTTCCACTGCCGGTGAGCATGGAAAGAGCGAAGGTTACAACTTGTGAAGTGATTTCTGAAGCAGGTATAGCCTGTTTAACAGTACACCCTCCTCCCCGGAACAGTATAAAAACCTTTCCTCCTTTTTTGCATGCCAAGGATTGTCTCTACTGCCAGCGCCCTCACTCCTAGCTCCTTCCCCTTAAATAATCTTGGATCCGCAAGTGTCATAAGTTGTAGACTTAATCATGATTGTACACATTATTTTAAGTCTTTAAGAATTCATTATCATTTTACACTGTTTTGATCTGGCCTTATTCAAACGTGTTTACCGACCAGACTATACCCCCCCCCCCCTACCCGTGGTGTGTGAATAGCATACTCACGCCATAGAGGAGCCCTGTTGCTACTGTGAACCCGATGGCTAATGCAGATGAGCCCTGTATGTCAGTCCTCCGTGAGTCAATGGTTGCAAACACCATGAGAACGAGGTGGAATGTGATCACGAACTCGACCCCGAAGCCTTGCCATAACGACACCCCTTCATCGTAATTGATCAGGGTTACACCGACATTGGTTTGCTTGTCGACCGGGGTTACGAACTTGAGAATGGCAGCTCCACACGCGGAGCCCAAGCACTGAGCCACCACATAGCACAGTCCCCTGACAATGCTGATCTGCCGGTAAATAACTAGCGGGACGGTCACGGACGGATTAAAGTGAGCCCCGCTCACGTGTGAGAAGCACTGGATCAAAGTAGCGATTCCAAGTCCATTTGCTAGAGCTATGAGGGTATTTGTTGGGGTATTACTCCCCGACCAGCCAACCGATGATCCCGGAGCTATGGGGATGAAGATGGTGAGAGCTAAGCATTCTGCGATGACTGCCCGCCAAAAATCCGCGCTTCCTAAATCATCTTTTTCCCAACGCGTTTTCTGAGTGTCGTCTGCCGTCTTCGGGACGCGATACGATACCAAAACAGGCATCACACGGTTAAAAACCATCGTGATTTGTCTCCCTTCGATATTCTCATCAAAATCACAACAACTCAAATCAAAATCACATTTGCTGTGTTATCTGTAAACAATGTTCTCTGCATTATTCGGAGTCGGTAGTTGGTAGTCATCAGACAGACATCATTATCGATGGCAACCCGCCGGCCAATTCGAACAGAGACAGACGAAATGGTGATCGTGCATCCATCAAGCCCCAAATATCAGATTGGCCAAAGTACAGTCAGCGATGAACCTTCGTATGCGCCGATAGCTACTCCGGATTTATCGCTTTGCGCCAGTAGATTCAGGGATCGCCTCAGATTCGGATAGTGAGTGGCGCCACCGACTCTCCAAGCAGGGTACATGAAACTATAGCAATTGCTATAGTGCTGAGCCTTCGCTAGTTTTAGGTATTCGGTCCAATGTTTTACGCAGGTGTCAAACTGGCCTACTTCCCTTGATTAAAGTGCATATTTGGTTTCTCCTATAAAAAGAATCACGTGAGCAAGGTGTCATGATTAAAATTATCTATATATTTTAGTGACCTTCTATAGATCGCTTTTTTATTTTCACCGATGCGAAATTTACGTTATGGCAAAATAAAGACAAACCTTTTTTTTTTTAAAATCTAAGGTTATTTAGAATATTGATATTTGTAGGTTTATGGCATTAATATTACATGATGCTACATTACATGGTGAAATATAAATAATCTGACAATGCGTCCACAAAATATTTTTCTGTTCTTCTCATTTGTTTTTTTATTTCTTCTTTATCTTTAACACATGTTTTTCAAAGCGTTTTGCAATAGTTTCAATGAAAATATGATATAGAAACAAGAAGTCGATTCAAATAAAATCGAATGTATGAAATTTATAAATATCTTTTACAGAGGAAGGAATGAGTGTCCTCTTCATAAGCTCATAGCAACATAGCGTCTCTTTCTTATATTAATTTTTACTGACATCAGTCCCAAGAGAGCTTCAAATCATTACTCAAACCCATCACCAGCAGCACACGAATGTTAGAGACAAAAATTCAAGGTCGAAATTCTCGTATGATTAAAAGCTAACCTTTTTCATGTGTATGTACGTACATTGTAATTGAATAGTCATAATTATGCAATTAATACTTGATTTGGCGTCCTCGACTTAAACGTGTTATGTTTATAAACATCGTGCCCCTTTTCCTTTTTCCTCACTCCTTCCCGGCATCAGTCCAATAATAGACTTATATTATTATACGAAGCTAACACCGGCACATGAATGATGGAGACAAACTTCGAGATTGAATTCCTCGTGTGATTAAACACTAACCTTTTTGCAGCCGTGCGTGCTTGGAATGAGACGAAAAAGAAACAGGTATTGTGAAAACCTCCAGGGAAAAAACATTGACTCGTTGACTTCGATTGGGAGGTACAAAATAAGGGCCAAAAATAATGACAACAATAAACATTAATCACAGACATGCATGGCATTTACTATTGGTGTAAAATAATCTTGAATTACTCCATAACATCTAATAAACCTTATATTGAAATTAACATATTTAGAACCAATGTTTTTTATATAACGTAAATCATCACAGGCCGGGTTCCCAAAACGCTTTACAAAGAAAAGTCATATTTAATCATAGAGCAGATAATTAATTCAAAAATTGATGAGTTGTTCCCTGTAATGATAGCATTTGCTATATCGGTGTATAATGTATAATTTCACCATATGAAGCCAAGTAGATCACCTTGAAGCAAATCTTTAAGCGATTGTATAAGTTCATGTTTATTATTGATCACTATCCTAAATTAAAGTTAAATACAAATCTTGAATCATCGCTTTATTTTCTTGAGTGTTTATCTCTTGAAGTGCATTAGTTTTTGTTAATTTTATTTTGTCTCGTATCTCAACATTATACAATTTGAAGGTTTTCAGCAGTGATTATTCTTTCGGCAATCATCAAGTAATGATTGGCGTTCTCATATGTTTTCATTTATACCTCCATTGAATATTTATATATCATCATTTATATACACTGTGCCAAGAAATAGAATCAATGCATATATAAATATGCGTACTATTTTAGTCAAATCAAAATGTGCATTTTCTTTCTTTTTTAATGCTAACGTCCTGGCTCCAAGGTTTGGCTTTTCGGTGCGTTATTCAGCATCTATAGACTCTTTAAGTTTACAGGCTTGTAACATAACAAATCAAAGAAGTTTGGACAGCAGAGACTTGAGTATGCAGACAAACAACTACCATAAGGTACTGTCCTGTCATTGGCCACTGTCAAGGGGGGGGGGGGGGGACTAGGGGCGAATGCCTTCACCAACTTGATTACGCCGTCAATCAAATAAAATTGATAACTGAATTAAAACGGCATATCATAAAGAAAGAGGAAAGAGAGAAACAGCAAAAGAAAGACAATTCCTGAGAATGACGTAATCGCCCTATATTCATTATATCACTAATTCAATAGTTATTTTAACTCACTCGTCAAAATTAAAAAGAGAAGAAAAAAAAAGATTAGCCACTCCTCCGATGTCTTGCCTCTTGCTACGCCACTGGTCATAACAAAACTGTCACTTATGGAAAGGTCACCGAGAACTCGATCCTCAGGCAAAACCGCATCTCCCATTGGTTGATTTGATTTATACTAACCAGGTTCGGATGTCACAGTGAGGAATATTTTCAAACGAAATAATGACATAGTCTGGCGTTTCAATTTTGATTTAAGATCCAACATGATGATTTCTGTGTCAACCGTGATATATATATATATATATATGAGACGATTTATTAACCCGCTGAGTGTCGTGTGCGATTTGAACTGCTAAACATTTGATATGGATTATACAATTTTCGGCCAAATATATTCTGTATCTTTTCGATAAGAAAACGAAAAGAATCCCGGATTTGTGATGGAGGTATCATGCAACAACACCGTCATGAATCATATTGACAATGAAACTAGTACTATTTATTGAAAACTTGTCTTTCAAAATGTTTGTAATTCATTTACTTATTTGTTCATTCATTTAATATTTATTCATGTTTTCTTTAGAAGAAAAAAAAACCATTTAAAAACAGGATAGTCCCGTTCGGAGCCACATGGGATCAATAATGTGTAAAATTGATGGCGCCATAAGGGTTAATTCATGCAAAAGCATGTAGAGGATATAATATAGACCGCAATAGGAGGAACAGTCGTAAAGACAGATAGATAAAATGAAGGAAATGGGGATGAGAATGACAAGGAACAGTATAAGATTGGAAGATATTCGATCGACGTAGAACTGAGCTTCATCCCTTACCCCTCTGTTATGTCCCTTAATACTGCATTTTGTTCTAAATATAGGATCGAAACGATGCACCACTCACTCCGGCTTGATGATACTCCGAACATCGTGGATGCGTGATGCTGCAATGCGAAAAGGTGTTCGACTCTAAATATATTCTTTCGCATCCCCACTTCCTCTGTATTATGTGTCTCTTTCCCTCCCCTTTTCTCTCTCTCTCCCGCGCTCTACAGGCTGGCCCTCTCCTCTCTCCTCCTCCTCTCTCTCCTCCTCCTCCTCCTCCCCTGCTACTCTCTCTCTCCCTTTCTCTCTCTCTCTCTCTCTCTCTCTCGCGCTCTACAGGCTGGCCCTCTCCTCTCTTCTCCTCCTCCCCTGCCTTTAAAAAACATCTCTCTCTCTCTCTCTCTCTCTCGCTCTCGAAGAATCCACGACTCTGCACGTACCCTCTCTTTCTATTCTCTTTTTCTTGTTTCTTCTCTCTTGATTTTGTTTTCTTTTGAATTCCCTTGATTCTTTTTTCTATCCCTCATTCCATTTCCGCTCATTTCTTTATTACCGACCTCTCGAATTCACTCCCCATTTACCTGTCGCACGTGTACGTCAATCTGTCCTTTATGTACTCTCAGTTTCTTTCCATGTCCTCCTTTGATTTCTCTTTTGCCATTAATCTGTATGCATGAATATGTCAGTCTGTACCCCCCCCCCCCCCCCCCCCCCCCTCTGTCTACTCCTCTTCCCCTATCTCCTTCTCTCTTCAGTTCACTCTAGTTGACCTATATACGTACAGGTGTATGCCAGTTCTAACCTCTCTCTGTATCTCTTATTTCTCTATTTCTGCGACTATTTTCCCCGCGTTCTCATTTATTTTCCTCTGGCTTGTTCTCTGCCTCTCTCCAGCCCCTTTTTCCTCTGTCTGTATATATTTCCAGTGATCAGTATAGTAATTGTGTCCCCTCCCTTCGTCTTCCTCTCTTTTCTCTTCTCTGTCTTGCCGTTTCTTTCCTTCTCTCTGTTTTGTTTTGTACGTCCATGATATCATGATGAACGTCAAATCCCTCTCTCTCCCTCTCTCTGACACCAACATCTCTCTATTTTTCTCTCTGTCACCCTCCTGTTTCTCCCTCCATCCTCTCCCCTTCTCATCGATCTGTATGTATGTGTAAGTCAATCCCTTTTCCGCCCCCCCCCCCTTCCCTTCCTCCTTCTCCTCTCTCACTCCCTCCCTCTCCCTTCGAACTGTATATTCACATTTAATTTACTCCTCTCTCGCCGCCCCCTTTTCCAACTCCCGCTCACCCTCCCTTCCCCACACCTCTCCCTCTCCCATCGATTTGTATATGCACGTGTATGACACCCCTCTCTCGCCCCCCCCCCTCTCCCCTCCCCTCTCCCCCATGCACCCACACCCCCTCCCTCTCCCATCGATTTGTATGAGCACGTGTATGTCAAGCCCTCTCTCATCCCTCCCCTCCCCTCTCCCCCACCCATACCCTCTACCTCTCCCATCGATTTGTATAATATGCACGTGAATGTCAACCCCTCTCTCGCCCCTCCCATCCCCTCTCCCGCACCCAAACCCCCTCCCTCTCCCATCACGTTGTATATGCACATGTATGACATTCCCTCTCTCTCACCCCTCCCCGCCCCTCTCCCTTACCCCTCTCACCCCTCCCTCTCCCATTGATTTGTATATGCACGTGTATGTCAACCCCTCTCCCGCCCCTTGCTAACCTCTTCAATCGGGAATGTAAAACGTGCCTCAGGTCCTGGCGGCGGTCTTACACGGTGAAGATAGAAACACTAATTGTCTCGGTCGCTGCAAGGGAGACATTTCACCCTTTTTCACTAAGATACCCTGACAGGACTGACGTAACTAACCCAGATGCACAATTGAATACTACTAGTATTCTGCCAGACCTGAAATTCTGCAGGTTAGAAAGAACG